CACAGACACCGCGCTCCTCATCCTCCCCTCTCTCCCTCCTCTCATCCTCCTCTCATGTCTTTGTCCCCTCTTTGTTTCACGTATCAGCCAAGAAGTTGCCTTTTTCTAAAAGGTCAGGGCTACGATCATTCATCTCTAAACCGACTACGACTTTGCTCTCTTCCTCTCTACTCTCACCGTTGTCCTCCTCCCCCTCTTGTCCCTCCTCTCATCATCCTCTCATGTCTTTGTCCCCTTTTTGTCCGCGTACATGGCATGGAGTTCTTCTTCCCACATTCTCGCTTCCCTCCTTGTAGCCCCTGCTATGATGACTCTGCTATGATAACCATGGTCATCATTGCTTCCCATTCTATATACAGGGTTATCAGTCCGATTCCTTCGTCTTGGAGGATAAGAAGGTGGGGATGATGTAGGGACGACAAGAGGAGGAAGAGGGAGGAGAATCAGTAGCCCAGTGAGGAAGACGAGGAGGCGGCCATGCAAGAGGCGCCGCACAGAGGGAGGAGACGAGCTCGGACGACGACCAGGCGTCGCTTCTTGTGCGGCTGTGCGGCTGTGCGGCAATCCCGCCGTCCCGAGTCGCAACAGCGGCCGCACAATCCGACGTGAAAAAATCAATGGGACGTCCATTAAAATTGAACGATACAGAGAATATTGCAGGTAACACGGCCCCACGCATAAATCGATAAAACAACAGAACGACGACGAGTAGTGCGATGTACGCTTGTCCCCTCTGGCTGTGGCAACGACGAGGGACTGTGAGGAGGAGGGGGAAGAGGAGGAGGAGGTAGAGGGGGAAGAGGAGGAGGAGGTATGGAAGGAGGAGCCTACCAGGAGGAGAATCAGTAGCCCAGTGAGGAAGACGCGGCGGCGGCCATGCAGGAGGCGCCGCAGGGAGGGAGGAGAAGTGCTCGGACGACGACCAGGCGTCGCTGCCTGTGCGGCTGTGCGGCAATCCCCCGCCGTCCCGTGTCGCACCAGAGGCCGCACAATCTGATGTATATCCTTGGGGCACGGTAGCTCAGTGGGTACAGCCATGAACCGTTGAAATGCCCTGAGTTCTTTTTTTTTTTTTTCTTTCTTTTGAATCAAAGTCATTAGTTCATTGCCAAAGTGCAAACGAGGCCGGGGAACCTCACAACTCAGCCCGGAGTACTGACAGCATCAGCCAGCTTACAGGCAAAAGCCTGCGGAAAGTTAAGACTACCAACTTTCCAGAATCATAATATCCCGACTAAATTCTTCACCGGCTCAACTTACAGGCATAAGCCTGCGGAAAGTTAAGACTACCCACTTTCCAGAATCCTAATACTACGACTAAATTCCTCACCTTTAAAAAGACTGTCCAGTAACTTGAACCGGACACTTCCCAAAAAAAAAAAAAAAAAAAAGACTGTCCAGTAACTTGAACCCGACACTTCCAAAATACCAGTCTAGCACCCAAATCCGAAACCCGATCTCTTGAAACCATGGTAACTAGGACTACTGTAACGCCTGTCTCTGGACCTTGAACATTTGATCTTCAGAGGAACATTCCATAACTTCATGGCTGCACAACCGAGTAAAATGCCTACACTACGCTAATCCGGGACTAACGCGGCCCAGAGGACAAGAGTCCCAAACCTACCGACACTCTCCTAGTGGTCCACCGCGACCCTAGCTGGGACCGAGTGTCCTGGTCCCAGGGACTGAGTGCCCTGGTCCCCATGTCCGGTTCCCCCCTGTTGGTACTCCTCTACTGGCCCACTGCGGCCATCTGTAATCTGTTATCTGAGCTGGGTGAGCAACCGGGCCTCTATTCTACCACATGTCCTCCTCTAGCTACAGGGATGGCGAGTCCTCCCTTTCGCTGGTCCCTATCCTACTGAGCTCGGTCCCTCCAGGATCCACTTTGACAGCACTAGTCCCTTTCTTGGGTGTACCGTTGCCAATAGGGGACTTCTTCCCCACGTGCCGTTGAACCAACGCATTTGGTGTCTGCTTCCCTTTCCGGACTTTGCCTTTCTTCTCCAGTCAACCCAGATGGCGTGTGCTTCAGACCCTGCTTGATGTATCTTTTCGTTTCGATGTCTGCGAACGGACGCCTCTGGAATCTGGATCTGTTTCTGTCACTCCATATCGTATCACATATCAGACCTCTTACCACATGGGCAATGTAGCCCCATCCTTTGTGGCCTTTGGCATCATTCTGTAGGAATCCCAATAGCACCCATTTCTCGTTCCATTCCACTCCCTGTCCTCCCATATCCACCCAGTGGCCCTTCCACCAGTTCCAAACTCTCTTGGACGAAGGGCAGTCCCACCATAGATGTCTGGTGGACTCGAATGGCCACCTACATCTCGTGCAGGCCAGACTTACTTTTAGACCTCTACTGGTGAGCCAGACCGCTGATGGTGAAACCATCAGCGATAGCAGCCACAAAATGCTGACCTACCTTCCGTTCGGAAGGGTGGCTAAGATCTCCCAAAGTCTTGTTGATCACTGTATAAGAATGAGATTGCTCATCATATTCTCTTACTTGTGGCAACATATTGATATGCAATCACACCTTGTCGAAAAATACCTACACATTTCTCTCTCACTCTCCCTCTTCTTTGGCTCTTCAAACGCCTCCCCACGCTGGAGTCAAATGCACATCACGAGGCAAGTAGGTTCAGTACCCGAGCATCACTCTCTTCTCTTCACCAACTTGGTTTCTCTCTCTTTAAATTATCGCCATACGTTAAAAAAATATATCGGTTACACGACTCTGATGGTACAAATGCGCTAGTTGAGCGGGAAGTTAACATGAAAGTCAAGAAACGCGATAGTATAGAACATTGACTTAAACATAAAATGAAACAAATCCGTTTATTAAGATGGCGTGAGCTTAGCGAGTACACGAACCCATCACAAACTTAGTATTATATTTTGCTCAAGGTGAACAATATTTGATCTGTTAGTACCTTCGTAATGCCTCCTCGTGTAGCTGTCGTACACCGACCAAAAAAGCCACTTGTTTTAATCGATATTAGTGCATATAAAAATCCAATGCATCACATGACCAGAGTCACCAGACTAAATCTGACGCGTACTCCAACAAAGTATATCACTCTCCGAACCTTAGCACGACATGCACCTCGCATCCAGTGCATAGCTTGTAGGAACTGACAATGGTGAATATTCAAATCGGCGAACGATTTTTACTCAAGTAAAGATTGATAGAGCACAAACCGATTATTATATGTGTTTATCACTTCTATCAATAATAACTTTGTCCGGGTAATGATAATTATATATTACTTAGTGCGACCACCACGCGGTAGTGATAATTGTATATGACTTAGTGCGACCATCATGCAAACAATGACGATACTTGTATGACGACTGTGCCTAAACCGAAAACTTTGCTCGCAAGCATAAACATGTATGCCCCTCTCTTAATGATCTCAACATAATAAACTTTTATCTTCACCCCGTTGCCCTTCCAAAGCGGCCTCCGCTTGCGGACCAACCCCAGTAAAGCTAGAGTCAGGTTCTCACAGGCCTCCGTCTCCTCACCAAGAGCTAGTAATTTCCCACCTCTCCAACCCATTCATTGAGGAGTACGAATCGCATACATAGTAGTAGGTCACAAGCGCACTCACTATTATTTTAACCTGAAAAAAACGTACTTACGTTCTATTTCACTTACCTTTGAAAAATGTGTCCTAAAAAACCATCGACTTGTTTTCTAATATAACGTATGTACGTTGTACTCGAATACAACATACCTACATTATACTCAAAATTCTTAATTTTTTATTTTCAAAAAAAACAAAAAACTCGAAAAAAATATAAAAAAACAAAACATTTCAAAAAAATCAGAATACAACATAAGTACATTGAGAGTCACGTTGAAATTCGCAATTCGAAAAAATATAAAAATGAGAATAGTAATATTTTTTACGGCAGACACGGTTGCCAGGTCGAACGTACGGAGACCCCTAAGATGACCCCCGAACGTTCGGGTGTTCGGGGCCCGAACCCGAAGGGGTTTGGACCCCGCAAAAAAAAAATGTTTTGGTACCTAAATATTATTATTTTTTAATGAAGGTTTTTTTTTTGAGTTCCTTGTAATGTAAGGTATCTTCCTCTTAATTTTAAAGGTATTCTCTTAAGCCAGAAAATAATGAAAAATCACCAAAGATGGTGGTGTCAAACTTGCTTGCCCACTCACTAATTTGTTTTTTCTTTCTTTTCAAACCTTTTTGTTTTTCCTTTATTTTGATGCATGAAAACAATTAATATCTTTCTAAACCTTATTTGTAGGTTCTCTATCATGTAAGATACACATACATTAATTTTGTCAAATTCAAAAAAAACAAAAAAATCGCCAAAGATGGATGTGTCAAAAATGTGCTTGTCCACTTAATAATTTTATTCCCGTTTTATTTTTATTTATTATTATTATTATTGTATTTGATTTTTATTTCAAAGTTCGTAAATAATTTAGATGTAACGTTCAGGCAAATGTTGTTCAGTTTATTCTTCTACATAACATATTTTGTTTTCAAATGTTTTCAGTTTTTTTTTTTTTGGGGGGGGGTTTTTTTTTTTTTTTTTTTTTTTTTTTTTTTTTTTTTTTTTTTTTTTTTTTTTGGGTCCACGTTCGGCCGAACGGTCGAAAGTGTCGAGAGGGGGTTCCGAACGTTCGGGCGTTCGGCCCGTCCTGAACGCCAGCAACCCTGGTAGTAATGTTATTCCCTAATTTGTCCTCTTTGCCTAGGCTACTAGTCGGGCTGTTTGGGTCACCCTATTTTCTTGGACGGCCTAACCGTGCAAGGACTAGGGAAAGTCCTAACAATAAACAAAAACAAAAAAATCGAAAAAAAAAAAAAAAAAAACTGAAAAAACTATGTTATGCATAAAATTAAACTAAACAAACGTCTTAGGATCACATCGAGTTTTTTTACCATCTTAAAAAAAAAAAAAAGGTTTTTTTTTGCTTGGCCGGACGAGTTACCCCGGGTTACCCTAGTATCCTAACTCCTTATTACAATTATATACTTCGATGTGGTTTTTCTATTGACTTTTAAAATAAAGTTACGAATTTTGGGGGGGGGGGGTAACTCCTTTTTCTTTCTTGTTTAAGTTAGGTTTTTACATAAAGTTGAAATGTGTTTAGGGTGAAAAAGCTAAACGGGACATATTTTTTTCGATAAGTTTTTAAATCATCATAATTCGTTAATCCAGTTACAACAATTGACTAATCTTACTTTTCTGCTCTACAATTTATGTTTGGCGAAGGTGGTGAAACTTAGATTGAAAAAATAAGGTGATGGAGTTTCAACCTTCAATTGGTCCATGCTCCACTAAGGGTTTTTTTATGATGGTTGAAATCCTTGATGTTTATGATCACTTAGAGACACTAGTAGGATGAAAGTTAATAGTATATTAAATGAGTAATGATAAAACAAATATGAGCACTTAAACTTTGTTTCATGACTGACAAATTAACATTTAAAAAAATATATATGTTTATTTGATCCGCTTGCTTGTATCTATAACTTGATGATATATATAATTTTTTGATATTTCGCAAACGTTCATGGTGCTCTGTTTATAACAATGTTTTAAACTATAATAGTAAGAACACTCACACCAACCAAGGAGTAAATCCTTCATAGCATTGGTACGACAATCAACGGAAACGAATGTCGAAAAGGTCATAAAGTATTACACATAATCAAGGTAGTTGTACTAAATAGTTAACCCCCTAGTATATTTCTCGACCATTTTCTCAAAGTTTCTATTTGTGTTATACCACAAATTTCGAGGATCAACAACTCGTGCAAAACGGTTGTCGATACCAACCAAAACGAGGACTTCGATTAATTTGTTTTTTTTTTAGCGCAAAATATTTGGAGTTATGAGCAAGTATGCTTGGAAAGTAATGGTGGTTTAATTATTTTTTGACATAAGGGAAGTTCAAATAATAAAAAATAACTTACTTAATTGCATCATTATTATAATTATTTTTTTAATTTTTCTTATTTCATTTTTTCATTCCGCCCTCTTGTTCTTTTATTTACTCCCCTTGCAAAGTTTTTTACCAAACGGAAAAGGTATTCAACTTCCTTATTAACACAGCCAAAGTTACAACGAACATCAATAATGATCTCACAGACTGCCTGTCATTGTTGGATTGTTAAATCGCACCATTCCTGCGATTCAGACTCCGAATCCTTATGACTTGACTTACCTAGCTTGTCCCCAATCTCCGCTCGACATTCCTTTGCCTCGTTGTTACCTGATCCGAAACGAACAGCGACTCTCGTATCAGCCAAGTCGAAGATAGCTTGAATCTTAGTAGTATAGGTTACACCTCCGTTCCGACACAGGGGTCGAGCGTTGCCAACTCTCGTTTGGTGTTGTCCAAGTATAGCATACGCTCAATCTCTTGATCACGTATTGACGGTTTCATCGCCGTTCGACATTTTGTTGAGATAGGTCTCGCTGTCCGCTTACTCACGCGAGTTCTTGTCCGTTGAAGTCTCTCCGAAAGTCTCACAGGTCTAATCGCTGACCTCTTGTCAGCATGTTTCACCGACGTAACCACGGGTGAACTATCCCCCACAACAACATCTTCACCTCTTCCTTTTCTCGGTAATTCACAACTTCTCAGTCTCGTTTGTAATCTCTTCCACCTCCGGTTCGCCGACACTCCCATGTAAAGTTTCTGAAACGTCCTAAAAAACCTTCGCCTTGCCTTTTATTTTTGAAGTCTCAATTACTTTCCGGACCTCATTCTTGATGTCATTATGTGTATGGCTCAGCCTGATCGCCATTTGTACCTCCAACGCCTTAGTCATCGCAAGTTATTCTTCTTCGCGCCGCTTCGTTTTCTCCAACTTCTTAGCCCGTCTTGCCTTAGCCTCTCGTATACGCTCCTCTCGTTTCCTCGCCTCTTCTCTTTCACGCCGTGCTTCTTCCCGTTCTTCGCATTTACGTTCCTTCTCCAGTTTCCTCGATTTCTCCAGGTCCAGAAATTCCTTCAGTGGAATCACGACGTCCCCCAGTTCTGCAATCTTAGACATCGTCTTAGAATCCAACAAGGGAGATCTTCGGAATGGTACTCCATGGCTTTGCGCAGGAAAACCTGATCTTCCCCTGTCAAAGTCTGGAGGACAGGTAAACCCGTCACGTCCAGCTTTACGTCTCGAATCAACATTACTCCAAAATCTCCAACAATCGCTCCTGTAATGTCTTGGAACTTTGCAACCATAGCAAAGTGGTGGCAGTCGTCTCTGATAGTCGGCATCACCCGGATGTCCCTCCATTCCCATTCTCTCGATCGACCACGTTCGGATTCCTGACGGCTTGGTCTCCCTCAATCAGAGTCCTCTTGGTTATTACATTCCCGCTCTTGTAATCCATCACGTCGGCCACCACGATCATACGGATGACCTCCTGTTGACATCGTGAATCTTCAGTTCAATACGAATTTCAACTTGATTCTTGATCTCGTCGTAGTCAAAACCAAACACTATAGTAGCAGTAACAGTAACAATAACAGTCACAATCAAACGCGCTCACTCACACTTGGCACGTAATCCAAGTAGGTTCACACGAGCTATAGGGAGTCATCATGATCCGGTTTTTCTGTTGTAACGTACTACTACGTGGATGTTGTTTCCTCTACATGAAACATGGATCGAGAGGTATCTTGGAGCGAAGGGCGAAATGGTTGGACAATCATAATTTCTTGAGGATTTGTCCTTGGAAGTATTCTACATTTTCTTCTCCGGTATCTCAACACACAACTACACATACATTCACATCTATGGTACACCGACTAGAGGGAGCATGGCCACTATCTCTGTTGGTTGGCACCAAGCGTGCCCTGGGCGGCTTGTGGGGACAACCTATGACCTCCTAAATGCTGCTTGCGTGTCTGACGAACTGAGCAAGGTACCCTTACTGGTAAGATTATGTTTCTTACAGATCATCAAAATGAAAATTTCAAAAAACAACCATGTGTTGTCTTAGAGGGGGGGGGATAGGCAAGCAATGACAATTTGGCTGCTTCCGTGGTCAACGTTGCATTTGGGGGAAGGTTGTATTCGAGGGAAGATCGCAAGTAGACGTATTCCGGGGAAGACACACAGGGTAGACATATTTGAGGAAATATGGCAAACAAATGTATTCGAAGAAATATGGTAGGCATAGTATTCAAGAAAACATGGCGCACAAAGGTTCTATTCATACGAGTATTGTAGGAAGCACGCGCTCCTTCGACAATCCCCATTCATGATACAAGTGCGGGCACTGCACGACGCTTGCCCAGAAACGAGGATGGCAAAATTGTGGTTGTACCCATGCCGAGATGACATCTCGAAATGGAAATGCAATTCCCTCTCCTCCCCATCACTGTTCTCTTCTTCCCCTTCAACTTCCTGTATGAAGGTGACGAGAGAGAGAGAGAGAGGGAGAGAGAGAGAGAGAGAGAGAGAGAGAGAGAGAGAGAGAGAGAGAGAGAGAGAGAGAGAGAGAGAGAGAGAGANTTTTTTTTTTTTTAACCATTAAAAATTGCGATGAAAAAAAAAAACATTCCCGTCCTCGATCTCTTCCTCCTCGTTCTCCCCTTGCTGTTTGTTTTATTTTTCCTCCTCCCTCCTTGTCCTCCGTCGCCACGGCCCATTCCTCCTCCTCCTCCTCCTTCTACATGACCTTCATGTAACCAAATATCAACTAATACCATATGTGCTTTCACTGCACAAGATGCAAAAAAAAAATCCATAGCAATATTTGGCCCCTTTTTTCCTTTTTTTTTTTTTTTTTGATCATAATGGGCTGAATTGTTTTGGGGGCATCCCCTAATGGTGCGCAAAACCCACCATTTTTTTTCCCCTTTTTCCCTTTTATTTTTTTCGCCAAAAAATTGTTGTTGGGGATCCCGAACAACTCGTCCGGGGGAGATGTTTCTTGATCAAACAGTTGGCAGCCCGCATGCAGAAATTTGGAAGAATAAAACATCTAAAGTCAAAAAGGAGAAAAATCAGTTTTCAAAATTATCTCACCGCTCCCTTATCCGAAACAATAGACATGGTTTACCATGTGCCCGTCTTTTTAGGTCCATCCTTGAAGTTACTATCAAAATCAGGTCTCGATCGCCGTACGATCTATTTGGTCAGGGCTGTGTCCCATAATTCAGGAATCACACCATCGCGATCTTACATTTTCACACTCCCGAGCCAGCTTGAGATGGTGTGGTAGGATTCGAGAGAGTCGCCCCGCAATCCAGGTCTGCACCCTACGTACACTTGATAATTCCTTGTCTTATAGAAATGCATACAACTTAAAATCTGTATTGCCAAACCTTTGCAACATCCTTATAAGCGATAAGAAATAACCGTTCGCATTTCATTTTGTGTGTTCTCGTTTTGTTGACGGGACGCGATGCAAGGAACAAAATGTCAATCGACTATGCGAGTAAAATTTTGAACACGCAACAGCTAGTTAAAGGCACTTGGCTCACATGCATTAGGGGACCCATTATGCAGATGAGTGTCATCCGGCCGGTTGGGTGATGTGCCAGGACCCATCATGCAGTTGAGTGTCATCCGGCCACTCTGTCTCATCCTTTTCGTAAACCTAATCCACCACGTCCGAGAAGGATGCACCAGCTCCCAAAACTTCAGATAGGCATAGGGAAAATAATAATCATCGTAATAATATAATGACACTTGGACGAAAAGAAAATGATAGAAAATCTATGGGGAAAAAAGGATAAACCTGATCATTATAAGCACGTTAAAACTCACTTTTCATGATGGAGACCTCTTTGCCATCTCTGGTAGCAAGAGCATCCCCATAACAATCAGCCGTACATGGATCACTCGAGCTTCACTATCCAAAACCAAGCTAACTTGGGGCCAGGTCCACCCCCTATTGACGCAGGAGGGCTGCACTCTCGCTCAGAGGAAGGACTAGCAGGGTACTAATATTCTAGTCTCTAGATAAACAAGACTGGATTGAAAAGTCAACAATCCTTCACTCTGCATAGATAAACCTGGCCAATCACTTACCTCAAGCGAACCGCACCACGGAGGGTCGGGCTGTCCGGCATATAAAGTGGGTGGAGTCTCGCATGCTCTTAGAAGGGTGCTTCAGATAGGGTTCCCTGTACGGAGAAGAAAAGGGGAAAAAAAATCATTAAGTTAAGCCACATGGCAGGTTTGATTCCCCCCTGCAACACCCCCACACCCAAGCAGATGAAAACTACAAATCCCACAACAAAAAACAGACAAATTGACAAAGAAGAAGAGAGAAGGAAAAAAGCAAGCAAGTTAAAATGTTCCATGTTGGATTTGGCATCTCTCTCTCTCTCTCTCTCTCTCTCTCTCGTCATATTTGCTATAAACTCAAAAAAAAAATTAGTCGTACTTTCACAACTCATCAGGGCGTTGCCAATCAACAAAACGAGAACATACAATACAAAATGAAAAACAAATGGTTATTTCAAACTGCCTATATGAACGCTGCATTTAAAATGCAGCCACTCCTATGATGCAAGGAAATATTCACTGCACCCAAGTCGCAAATCTCGATCGCAAGGTGGCTCACTCTGGCACACCATCTCAAGCTGGACCAGGCCAAGAATGTGAGCTACACATGCGTGGTATGCCTAGTGATAGGTCATGCCTGAAAGCAGCACGTGAAGTCGGAGAACGGCTTTGATGAAGCAGAAGGTTAGGGTTAGGATAACGAACTTGATACGTGAAGTCAGTCCCATACCGGGTAATACCTTACTGTCAGCTTGAGATGGTGTGGCAGAGTTGGAGCCGCCCTGCAATCCGAGATCTGCGACCTGGGCGCACTCAATAATTCCTTGCATCGTGAAATCCATATTGCCAAGGCTCTGCAGCATCCATATAATCCCGACAATCTGCCCAGGACGCCTTTGACCAACGGATGGATAAGGATTCACCACATCGCCCAGAGTTAGCAATAGCCATGAGAAAAGTGGTAGACTCTACTCAGAACAACCCTGCAATCCTAGCGGACTGTCGGTCCAAAGCCCTAACAAGAACAACAGTAAAAGTACGAGAACCTAATCTAACAAGAGTCATAAAACCCACCCTACACACCCACAGAGCCATGGACATCCAATGGCATGACCGCTACTATGGTCTCGACCCTCGCCACATCAATCCTCCTGAACACAGAGCCTAATGTGTGTGGAACTGCATGAACAACACAAGAAAACAAAACAAAAGACAGCAACAAAACAGGACGGACTCGTCAGACCTACCCACATGCCAGGATCTGACAACCCTCTCTCTACACGCAGGTCAGCCGTATTGTTCCACGTCCACCATCTGGCGGACGTCGCATCAGTTGGCTGCAATTTCAGCGCGGTCTCCGTGCGTTAACACAAATATGACAACACAATCAATCATTTTTATATTTTCTTACTTGTACTTTCTCCTCGTACTGTTGTGTCCCCAGTGCCAAACAGTCCGTCCTGCCTCATTTTCGGTGGCTGGACCGCTCCGATTTTCTGCAGATGATGACACATCTTCGCCTGATTCCGTGGCTCAGCAGGCGGTGGGATCCAGACACTGCAGTCTGCGGGATCCACTTCCGATGTATGTGATCTGCCACATTGTTCCGTGTGCCTCATCAGCAGTCCACCACCGCCGTGCTGCCCATCCGTTCACTGTCTGGTGCGGATGAGGTGGTGGCGTTACCTCCGTCTTTGCTGCCCATCCGCATGCCATACCTTCCGCCTGCCTTGCTTGGCTGCCATGCAGTTTGGCTGATTCTTCACGGTGCAGTCGCCGTGCTGCTGCTCCGCTTGCCCTGTTGTTCCTAGTGGTTTTTGGCGTGTGCAGTCGTGTTGCCTCGGCTGCGTTGCCTGGTGCTCCGCCAAGTCGCTGTCCACTGCTATGTACAGCTTGAGGACAGTCTGCCTTCAACATGGGTCAAGGGGCTCATGAGCCAAACGACAGGAGGTGAGTTTGCCAACTTGGGTGTCTCCAACCACGTGGTAGACAAAATGAGTCGCGCTCATCTCTCTTCGACTACGGGAGCATCTGCTTCGCTATCGCACCAGAGAGAATAAACAGTGCAAAGGGGCAACAATTCATTTGGTAGTCGCGCATAAAATTATCAATACGGGCACTCAGCAGTTTGAGAAGTGTTCCACCTCCTGATGAGTCGGTGCAATTCCAACGAAATAATCTCATTTTTTTTCGGTCCTTGCACTTCATGTTTTTTTTTGGTCTTTGCAATTCCTGGGTTGTCAACGGTTCTGCCTTGTTTTGTATATAAACTTGTTTAAGATAGTGCTTTACCAAAAAACAAAAAAAAGGGAGTGTTATACCACCAGTACTTCCTAGAGTCAAACCCATTAATGCGCCACAATTTTAGGGAACGCACGGGCCACTACAGGAGCGCCCAAATTCATCCAACTAGAAACGTTTCTACTCTATTGTTTTCCGCGGCCGATAGCTGGGCCAAGTACTGGTGCTTAGTACCTTCCGAAGCACTCCTCCGGACCTTTTTTTTTTCAGGCTACCGAAGCTCTTTGTTTTGGTAGGAGGCAGCTGGTGAAAAACAGTGATACAACGTGCAACCAGTCCTTCGACGTCGGGCGACCAGTCGTGTTTTTTTTTTGCCCCTTCCCTTCTTTTCTTTTCTTTCTTTCTCTTTTTTTATGCCCTGAGTAAGGGAATTCCCGAGCACGTGTAATAGGAGGAAAGAAACCGAAGGAAAGAAAAAAGGATACAAATATTTGGCCGTGATAGTGGTCAGATACATGCTGGGATCGTACAAATGTGAATATTCCCTCAGTTAGGGTCTTTCTTGTGCACGTGGAATGCGCTCTACCTCGTTGACTAGGCACTAACGAAAAAAAAAAGAACAATAGATTTAGCCGTGATTGCGGTCCGATACACATTCTCTACAGTCCTAGCGTGATTATGATATCAAAGAGTTCGTGGAGCCAAAAACTTCCTGGAGAGGTGGAGAGGCAACATCTTCACACAAAGAATTCAGGACGACCAAAAACTTGCATAGGACAAATAACAAGTCTGGATTCAAACCAAGATCAAAGAAGTCCTGGAGAGATGGAGAGACACAACATCTTCACACAAAGAAGCCAAAAACAGTTCGCAAGAGGAAAACGAAGGGAATCAATACAAATGAAAACTTCCTAAAAGATACACATTCTCACACAGGAGATGAGATTCCAACAAAAGCTCACATTTCCCGCCGATTTACAAAGCTCTGAATATAGGCTCTCATAGCTGTCACACATCCTCCGTGCACACACACACCATAAAATACTCTCGCAAAAACAATGCTGCCCTGTCAGAGAGCATGGTCAGGTGGTAGATAGGCCACCAAAAGCCCAAAGACTGCCACTCACAAAGTGCTGCCACACGGCACTCCTAGCCGCCCTTCATTGGCCCTTCTTCCTCTTCTCTACCTTTCCTACCAAATCAATGGAGTTTCTCAATTGATCGAGGACATCTCACCACAGAAGAAGGGAGGACTAATGCAGATTTGATTTGTAGGCTTTCACCTGAATCATTCATACTGCTCACTTCCACATGGAAATCCCGATACCCCTAGACACTCTCCTCCCTAGTACTCCTCACCCCCCCGCCCCATCATTCATATGAAGAAACACAACTGTCCATCCAGTGCACCAGCTCATGTGAGAACACAATATAACTCCCATCATTCATCCGAAGAAACACACAACCTACGGAAAGCAAACCTCCCGAATTTCAAATCCCATTCCCGTGTTCCTTTCTGGGAAGTCTAATTCTTAACAGAACTCTAAACATGTAGGACTGCTCCCTTCAAGGCTGCTGTCCGATTACCAAGACCCACAATACCATCATTTGAAGGGTGCACGATCATTTACTTTCCCACCGAGCTGGTGATCCACATCCCCATCATGCCCGGTGTGTCACCCCTATTGTCGTCACCTTCTTACTCTCAGTGAAGCACACCCTACAATGCTCCATTAACATCTCCTCCTCCTCCAGGCTCCGAACATTCTTCAAGCTGAAATCAATGCACCCTACCAAAACGTATACCAGCACTGAAAACTGGGATACATGGCCAGTGTTCCTTCCATGCGTGTGCTTCTCAGCCAGATCCACCTTCAAGCATGTTAGCTGCAGTTCGGCAGCCACGACGGGTTAGCTACAGGTCGGCAGCCACAGCATACCAGCACTGGAAAGGACGTCAAACCCAGAGACAGCGCCTCCCATAAGCGAACTCGGATCCTGTTCCCCTTGACATCAAGACAGGTCAGCTGCAGTTTAGCAGCCATCCTCAGCACCCAGAAAACACATCCCTGTTACGCCTTGATAGACAGCAATATGACTATCACCGGACGAGTCCTCCCCCGCTCGGTAAACTCTCGTGTCCACACAAACTCCTCTCCCCTCCCCTCACCCACAAACTTCACTAGCAATAACCAGTGCACGACTTCAACTATCGAAAAACAATGCATGACCAGAGATATCACAGGATGATTTCCTGCAAGTTCACAAGCACAACATTGTCCACATTGCCTTCCGCACCCACTACTGGAGTCTAACCTGCCCACTGCCACTCCCACCACTGGAACGCCACCCTGGCCACCGCCACACCTAGGGTAAATACTCGTATTCGGATCCGGCATCGGAGTATGGCATGGGAGTGCTTTCATAACGGTGAACCTGCAGCACCTATATTGTCCGCAGCAAGACTTTACCCAAGGGAGAGAGTAGGTGGCAGCAGCAAACTACAGCAGTACACTTCTACCAATAGGATTGTCGGATTGCCACACCACCAAAACCTTCTTTGATGCTTTCTCCTGCAGCATCCACAATCAAAACCCTCAAACGTCAGGCAAATCACTTCATACACAGCTTGGTCTCCACCCTGTCCTTGCAATAATGTCATCATCACCATCTCTCAAAAGCCCAAAAGGAAAACCACAATGGTCGTTATTATAGCTGTTCATAGCACATAGCTCAGGAGACACTGCCTGCTGACAGAGCTCTCTGTTCTTCAAGTCAACCTTGAGCCTCCTCTGGGCAGCAACTGGCAGGAGCTCGATGCACGACACCATGATGAAGGCCACCATAACAGCAGCTTCAATGTGAGCAAACAAATCCCGAGCACCTTGACCTCAATTCAGCTGCTGCCACACGAAGAGCACATATCGAGCAAGACCATAACACCCGTACAATCAGTCGAGAGGGGAAACAATACTAAGACACACATCAGACAAAGAATGGGGGAACCGATGCTCTGCAGACTTGCATACGAGACAAAGGAGTAAAACAGTACTCTGCAGACTTGTGCATTAGACAGAAAGGGTAAAACAGTGCTCTGCAGACTTGTACATTAGACAAGAAGGGGAAAACAATACTCTTGCAGACTTGTGCACTTGTGCATCAGACGGAAAGGGTGAAACAGTACTCTGCAGACTTGTGCACCAGACAGAAAGGGTAAAACAAGGAGGGTAAAACAGTACTCTGCAGACTTGACCATCAAAAACATAAAAGGGTAAAACAGTAATTTGCAGACTTGCACATCAGACAGAAAGCATAAAACAATACTGTGCACATTTGCACATCAGACAGAGGAAGGGGAGCAAGAAGGC